ACAGACAACCTCTCGTCAATATGCGTTTTTTGCATTGCATAGCTGCAAAAAACGCATAAAAATTATCATTGAATATCATCGAGTGGAGTAGAAATAAGTATCGAAATTTTGAACATAATTTGTTTTGTAAAAATGAATTTTACGTACTTCGTAAGCAAGATCACTTTTGGCTGTTGTTCGTAAACCAAGCCTTTCCATCAGATAATGCAAATCTGGTGTATTTATCGAGCAACTTTCACGCTGAAATATCATCGCTCATAGATCCACCATAATTTTGCTACCAGTTCCATTTTGTACTGGGAGTGAGCAACTAACATTTTCTTCCAGAGTTCGAATCGATCTCGGAATCGACATTAGTGCACGGATCTGAAAGAAAAACCTACGCAATTTTTTTATCATGGCCTACCGCGAGTTAGCCAACAAGTAGATTTAAAAAATGAAAAAAAAAATCCGCCTATTCAAGTTTTTTTTTTGATAACATTGCATTTCTGAGTAAAAAATTTTTTAGGTAAGAAATTTTTTGGTAAGAATTTTTTGGTAAAAAAGCAAACAAAAAACGAGTGAAGACACAGAGAAAGACTTATTTCTGTTTGAAATAATTTGAACAGCTGTAACTCGAAGTCCGGAACGTTTGTAGTTGGCAGTTTTTCCAGTTGCTTTGTTCAAAGCTGCTTCACATGGCGACCAACGGGCTGACGATCCTCATGTTCATTTCGTCCCGGTTATTTCGAATTTTTAAACAATCAAAAGCAATACCAGGAAAAATTCATCCTTCTCGATTCTCTTATTGTCATCGCGATCGAATAAGGCAAAAGCAATCCGGAAGGCGCGTTGTGATTCTGGAAAAGTGAAACGGCATACAAAACAACAAAAACTGAGCCATTTTTTCATGCCCCGATTTCATCAGCGGTATTTTTTAAGCTTCATTTTTGGTGCCTATCTGGGTCATAGCCAGACGTGACGTCTAACCTGCTTTTCCACAAGCTACACGATCTAGCGCTGCTAATCCTTATTTACTAATTCTCATTTTCTGTTTAGTTTTTATTTGCGATTTTTGAGTCTACCGTCAACAGCATATTTTTAAGCAATCCTTAGAATGGCCAACCAATAACAGCCTCTTCAGCGTGTAGTTTTTTTGGCATATGCTATCATTCCAGCTACTTCACATGCGCCTTCGCCTGCATAAGGAGCAAATACGGACTGGGTTTTGTCAACATACCTTTTATTTACATCTAAATTTAAATATTTGTAATTAAATTAAATTCTGTGGTTGTTTTTAACACTTACTATTCCTAGAATACTCACGAATGGGCGAATACTAAGGCCTTTCAGAAAAAGCGAAAACGGAGGGAATTTGAACTAGTGCTTTCACACTGGTCGTCTGAACGGTTTTGGTAAGCGGGCTGGGAACATCCCTCCAAAATTTCAGCCGCCCAGCTTTCCCAGTTCCCCAGTTAGCAATTTTCCCGCCAAAAATTTTCATATTTTTCGTATATCACAAAACTGACTTGTAAGAATGGCGATTAAGAATAGGTAATCGGCATAGGAGATGATGCCATGCTCCCCAAGCTCTCGGAACATTGAACGATTCGTTTTGCGGAACGATGGAGAGCGCGACAACATTTTGTTAACTGTCTGTGTTGACAGAACTCGACGATAGACACGTTCTGCAAAGCAAATACACATCGAGCTGAACGACAGGAGCACTTCGGAATGCTTGGCGCTACTTTTAAGCCAAAACTCGATGGTACCATTCGTCGGTGCGAAACTAGTAATGGTGAAGACGCGACAGATTACGGGATGAGAGGACAGTATGAGAGAAGGAGATAAAAGAGAGATAAGACGTTTCGGTCCATTAAGTCAAATACGCCTTAGCTCAACACCGTACCATGGACCTTGTCAGTATGACGGTCGCAGTAAATTACTGGTTTTACTGGTTCTTCTGGCTCTAATAAAGTACCAACGAATCGCTTACCTATCAGGCATGCAAATTCTAACGAATTTCCTGTCCTAATATATCAGCTACAACGTAAATGTTATTGCTTTGTTGCTGCTGTTACTTCTTCTGCTTTAGCTTATAAGTAATGAAGTACTGATTTCCGTTCGGCAAATTCTGATCAAATTTCGTTAATTCCGCAATTTCGTTAATTCTGATCAAATTCCGCAAGTTTACCTAAGGAAATCTTGTTACGACTTTGCCCAGTTCAAGCCACTGTGATTAACGCGGTTTCCACCACTGAAAGCTTATCCAGTAGGAAGAGTGAGTACCAGTAAAAAGCTAACTTCCCCGGAAACACCGAGTGCCGATGAATCGTTTACCTACCAAGCAAATTAAGCACTCACGAACTGCTAATCTACCCTAACATATTGAGTACCAAGAAATTGGTTTTCTCCCAAAAAACGAGAATATGGTTTAATTTATGACAACTAATAAATTCTAATAATAAAAAGGAATTGAACAAAGGAACGCTGAACTGGCAGGCTGCGTACCAGCAAAGCAATTACTTGCCTAGGCGAGCCAAGTAGTATTATCGCGATCTTAAAAGTTTGTGAGTTAAACCAGTGTGCGTGCCCTGTGTGTGTATGTGTGCGTGCGTATGAGAACCAGGAGTGTTACACCACAATGATGCAATTGCTCGTTACGCAATTTTTAACAAAAAGCCATAAATCATTGCGTGAAATATTATGTGACAATACCCGTGGGGATCGTCAACCTATCAAGCGCACCGAATTTAAGGTTAAGTGAAAATTTAATTGGAAAATGTAAAAGTGAATGATGGAAAGCTGAAAAGAATAAAAAGGAAAGATATAAATAGAAATAATAAAGTAGGTAAAAAATGTTTCGGTCCATTAAGTCGTATACATTTCTTACCATTACTACAATTGGACCTCGTCAGTACGACGACTGTGGTAACAATATATTTTTTGTTAAGAATGAAAAGTAATTGAAACGGAAATAGTTAAAAAGTGGTAATAATCTTGAAATTGGGAAATAGAGGAGGTGAAGTGAAAGTAGGAATTAAGAATTATCGATGAATGGAATATCGATGAATGGGCTTACCTCGTGGCATATCAAGTACCAGCGAGTCGAGGAAATCATTGGGTGTCATATAAATGACGTCGTCGTATTCCACCGATGCAAAATCCAGGAAT